TGGCGTCTGCTCTGGCGTAGGCACTGGCGGTGGTGCTGGCGTCGGAGATGGGGAGTCGGAGCTGGGGATAGAAGTGATGGGTGGCGCACTCGTTATCCCACGGGGTGGGATGACACCCTGGGAGCAAGGTTTATTCGACCGCGGGTCGAATGCAGGTCGAGGCGTTGGCAATGGTGTCGGGTTAGGCGTCGGCGTCGGTGCTGGCGTCGGTGCTGGCGTCGGTGCTGGTGTAGGCGTTGGCGTCGGTGAAGGCACATGCACAAGCATGGGTGCTGGTGTCGGTGCTGGTGTCTGCACTGGCGGAGGCGCCCGCGGTGGTGCTGGCGTCGGAGCTGGACGTCGGAGTTGGGGGGTCGGAGTTGGGGATAGAAGGGGTGGGTGGCGCACCCATTATCCCACGGGGTGGGATAAGACTCCAGGGGCAGGGTTCATTCGACCGCGGGTCGAATGCAGGTGTAGGCGGCATTGGTGTCCGGTTCGGCGTCGGCGTAGGGGTTGGTGTCGGTGCTGACGCATGAATCCTCTGGTGCGTTGTCGTCAGATGGCCGGCGTTGGTGCTGGAGTCGGTGCTGACGTCGGTGCTGGTGTAGGCGCAGGCGTGAGTGCCGGCGTCGCAAGTCCAAGCGCTGGTGTGATGCGGTGCTGGTGTGGTGCTGGTGCTGATGCGGTGCTGGTGTGGTGCTGGTGTGGGCGTCAACGTCGGTGTCGGCCTTGTTGTTTTGGAGCGGCTTTCCAACATCGGCTTGGTTGTTGGCGTCGGTGCTGGCGTCGGTGCTGGTGCGGGCGCTGGCGTCGGTGCTGGCGTCGAGGCTGGTGTGGGTGCCGGTGGTGGTGTCGGTGTAGGCGCCGGCGTTGTTGCTGGCGTATGGGCTGACGTCGGCGTGGGGGTGTTGGTGCAGCTGCAAGTGGTGCTGTCTGGGGGGGGGAAGAGTTGTTGGGCGCACGTGTGGTGCTGTGCCTGGCGCCCTCCTGTCTGGGGGGGGGCAGGATTTGTCCGCCCACGAATTGTGGTGACTGGCGGATAACTGCCCGAATTTCCGCCCCACCAGCAGGGCGGCCAAGCGAACCCTACTGTGTGGTGCAAGCTTTGTGGTGCAAGCCATCGTATCCCAGCCGCATGACCGATGGAGTGCCCAGCCGTAAATATGTAACACGCTGCCTGGTATTCATGTGTCTGGCGTGGGGATGGCGTTAGTGCCGGTGTATGCGCAGGCGTTGGTGCTGGCGTAGGCGCCGGCGTCGGTGCTGGCCTCGGTGCTGGCGTCAATGCCGGTGTCCGTGCGGCTGTCAGCGATGGCATCGGGGCTGGCGTAGGCGCTGGCTTTGGTGTTGGCGTAGGCGCAGGCGCTGGTGCCTGCGTTGGTGCTGGCGTCGGTACTGGCCTCGGTGCAGGCGTCGGTGCCGGCGTCGATGCTGATGCTATCGATGATGTCGGAGCTGACGTAGGCGTTGGGGCTGGTGCTGGCGTAGGTGCATGTGCTGGCATCGGTGCCAGTGTAAGCGCTGGCGTTGGTGCTGGCGTAATTAGGTGCCGGTGTTGGCGCTGGTGGCAGTGCTGGCGACGGCGCTGGTGTAGGCGCAGGCGTTGGTGCTAGCGTCGGCGCTGGCGTCGGTGCTGGCGTCGGTGCTGGTCGATGGTGCTGGTGTAAGTGTTGGTTTTGATGTTGGAGTCGGTGATAACAACAGTGCTGGTATAGGCGCTGGTGGAGGCGCTGGCGTTGGCGCCGGCGGTGGCGCCGGCGTTGGTGCTGTCGCCGGTGCTGGGCGCTGCGCTGCGACAGAGGACAGGTCGGAGTGTCGAGTTGGTGGAGTCGGTGGCGGTTGGAGGTCGGATCGCTGAGGTTGCGGAGGCTGGAGGTCGGCTGGTGGAGGTGGCAGTGCGAACCCCGAGGGCAATTGCTACTGGAAGTGGTACTGGAATCACGGCACCCGGGGGAGCGGATGGGAGTCGTGCGCAGTCCAGCGCCGGGTAAGGACGCGGGTGGAACGGCCGTGGCCTCGAACACCTTCCCGTACCCATTGTGTCATTGCGTCGTAAAGTGCTGCCGTCGGCAGGGGGGTCTGGGAACATGTTCCATCCGAAGGAACATATTCACATATTGGGATTGGGTGGAGTGTAATTTCTTCCATAACCCGTTGAGAGAGCCCCCTCATTGTTCAAGGACCCTGTGGAACATCACCCATAGATATAACATGCTGGATTTCCTGGAAGCCCTCAAATTCCGATGAACACCTCTGAGGACCATCAAGCACCCGCCATCAACTCGAGCGTATCCGGTTGTGGCCATGGCCAGCTGGATGGGGGCGACAAGCTCGGCTCGCGAGGCAGGCTAGCACGCACTTTGTAACGATCCGCATGTGACTGCATCCATGCGTCCACCGGCACGAAGGTGGACTATTGGCCAGCCGCACGTTCGTCGGCGCCAAAGCTTAGAGAATGCCCCGCCGATTCGTCGATACCCCAGACCCCTCTTTTAAGATTCCCTTCACTCAGAAACCGACCCCGAACCCAGGTGAGGTCCAGCGGAGGAGGAATATGAGTTGGTTTACTGGTGTATTGGTAGATTGGTGCATGAAGGCGGAGGTACGTTTGGACCCCTCCCTGCAGACGTCTTCTTTGGCCGAGGGGCTGCAGGGAGGTGGCCCACCGATGCGCACCGGTGGGGAAGCCCACGGCACTAGAAACTAGCTTTACCAGATTAGGCAACAGCGAGATTGACCGAATCCTTAAAATTCTACATCGAGTGATCGGGAATGGGGTCATCGCATTCACATTTCCAGGACACGTGAACGGGGATCTCAGCTGAGGCGCCGCACCTGCTGCACACTCCATCGGTGGCCGAGACATATCCAATACTGTGCAGCCTGTCCTCAGGCCAGAAGCCAGCGGTCAATACATCCCTCATGATGCCAGCGGCTTCGTGTTCGCCTTCACGGGTGAGCTTAGCAATGGGCATCCGAACAACTGTAAAGTCCACCCCTCCGTCAACTCCTCAGGAGATAGCAGAGCAGGTGGCCTGAATGGCGGACCACAATTGAAAAGAGACCTGGGGTCGGTGACGCGCTATTCCTCCCCCCCGCTCATACGCCAAAAACGTGAAGACGGGGACCCACTCGAGGTACAACACAACCGCAAGAATCGCAAGCATGGGTCCCGTCATAACTTGCCACCGATAACTAAGGGGTTGCAGCTTCCCCGACACAATCTGCGAGACGCTAGCACGCTACATCCTCGCCTTATGACCCAACTATTGAGCTGTTCGTACCTGAGACGAAACTTAGGGTCATCCTTCGCACAAAGCAGGCCCAACACAGTCGTGGTACACGCACAAGGGGACCACCACCCAGAGCACGTGGCAGCCTGAGTTCTCAGATACTGGACCTGAGCAAGAGACAAGCCGAGAACCGCATGGCCCCAAGACCCTAGAGCCAGGACCCCAGGCTTGTAAAGCATGCAGGCGCGCCCGACCAGCTTAGACAAAACCCTGACCTGTACACTTTGTGAAGGCGATGGCGCGCCTCCGCTGCAACAGGTGGGTGCTGCGCCTCAGCACGGCGCTAGAATTAACACCCAGGGCGCGAACGCGCTGCCTGCTCTGGATGGGCAAGCCAACGCTCTTGAAACGAATCACGATCTCCTCCGCAGGTTTCCTGCTGGATGGCACAGCACCCCCTTGTCAGCAATGAGCGTGCCAGCTCCCTCGAACTCGTGGCACAACGAGATGGCAGCTGGCACGAAAGACAGGATCATGAACTCATGCTTGGGTGCAACCTGGGAGGACCCCATTCCCCGTGGAAATGGCTTCGGAACAAGACCCTTGGACCTCCAGCATCCAAGGAGCTTCGTGACTAACAACCCCCACCGAGGGGGAGGCGACGGGCGAGGGCGGGGGGTGGAGGGGCGGCAGGGGGGAGCCGTACAAACAGCAGGCTGAGCAAGCACGGCACGGAAGACACAACGACGATGAACGGCAGGACGAGGGCGGGGGGATGCCTCCCGTCTTCATCCTTCGTTCTCCCAGGTCTCTCAGCCTGGGACAGAACCTCCACAAAACTCCAGGGGCGCAGAGAGGACGCGAGACGGAACTCGCTTCAAAATGGAAGCAGAAGCCTCCCCCATCCCTCCCTCCGCCCTGTCCATCTCTCATCAGGGGAAGCCAAAAGGTGCCGACACCGCTACTCCGTGGACCTCTCCTGGGATGCGTTCGAGGCGAATCCAGCCGTGGCGACGAGGGCCTCCCAGGAGGCCCCGAAACGAGGTAAAGCGAGGGCAGGGTGGCGGGATGGGCACCTTTCCCTCCTCTGACCCTCCGCCCTGCCCATCTCCCATTGCTGCCCCAGGTCGCCGAACTGCGCGCATCGCGCCTCGGCGATGCGCCGCGCGCGGCCACCACCGCGCCCTCGCGTCCCCCGCCCCACCCGCCCTCCTGCTTCTCCTGCTCCTCCTCCTCCTCCTCCTCCTCCTCCTCCTCCTCCTCCTCCTCCTCCTCCATCCTCCATCCTCCATCCTCCATCCTCCATCCTCCACCCTCCACCCTCCATCCCCCATCCTCCTCCCTCGTCCTCGAAAGGGGCGCCCCTGGGCCCAGGCCGCGCGGCGCGCGAGTCATTGAGCCTTCGCGCCCCTGCGGGGTGGCTTCTCTGAGGCCGCGTGGACCGTTCCGACCTCGAACGATCGGCGGCGCTTCGATGGCAAGCTCGATGCGTGCTGGCCGAGCCTGGGCAACTGGCGGCGTCCACCCGCGAGCGCCCGCGCGGGGGCCGCCGCCGCGCCGGCACGACGCGAGCCTGCCGCAGGTGCCTCGCCCTGCCCCCGCCATCCCCATCGACGACGCGTGGGGCGGGGGGCGCCTCGGGCCCCACCCCCGGGCCAGGCCGCTCTGGACTGCTGCTCCTCCTCGGCCCGCGCTGCACGTCATCTCGCCCCCCGGCTCGGCTCCCGTATCCTCGGGCTGTGCCTCCACCCCCTCTTCCCCAGGCAGGCGGCCGGCGGGGATCTCCTCCTTCAGCAGGTTCCCACGGACCTCCATCACCACGTAGTGGCGTTTCTGCAACGACGCGATGGAGTAGAGCGTGCTCTTGATGCTGCTGTCGTCTAGGCTGGGCACCTCAGGATCGGCAGAGGAGGAGAAAGGAGAAAACCATGAGAGGACGTAGGAGGAGCACGAGGAGGGGTCAGAATGAGGAGTACGATGACAACGGAAAGGGCGAGAAGGATCACGAGGACACGAGGAGAAGCTTCGCACGCTGTCCTCAGCGCTGATTCGACGGCGCCACGATGGACCGTGCCATGACCAGCCTGTCGGCTGGTGGGATAAAAGCCGCTCACCAAGATTACTAAGACGGCCTAGGTGCACAAAGCATGAACAAAAAGATGCCCCGCGAGGTCTTCAGAATTCGCCCAGCAAGACCGCAAGACCGCCTCAGAAGGCTCCCCAAACTGCCCGGACGGGAGCCGCACAGAACGGCCGAAGACCGCCCCGAAGATGGGTACACCGAGCCTCTCGGGAGGGTTCGGAAAACCTCTGCACCCCCCGCGGGCATACGACGTGCCCGCGCAAAGGCGCTTCTGCGGGGAAGCTTTGTGGAACTGTCGTGAACAAGATCTGAAAGCCCGAAAGTAGAGGACAAAAATCCACCCCGATCAGAACCACCCCGACAAGAAAAGCCGTTTAGTCAACGCACCCAAAAAAGTAATCGAACAGAGCAGGGCTGTTTAGTAAACGCCCAGGGCCGTGTAGGAAACGCCAATTATCGGGTCTGGGTGTATCTTCCTCCCTTGAGAGAGAGCGTCCCAGGGATCCCGCCCGAGGCCCCGTGGAATCAGGGCAGCGATATAAGACTGGACTGGAGCAGTGGAAGCTCCACTTGGGAAACCACCCAGTACCAATACCGCTAGTCTCCGGACCTCTCCGAGGGTGCGCTCTAAACAGAATTTCGAGGCGAATCCAGCGGTGGCGACGAGGGCATCTTGAAAGGCCCCCAAAGGGGAATACGAGGCGAGGGTAGCCGTATATCGGCGCCTTTTTCCTCCTCTGATCCACGGTGGGCCCGGATTGACCTGTCCATCTTCAGTGAGGAACCTGATGAACTTTGCGAAAGGCACCAGACACACGATTGCTCGGATTCCTGTTCGCTCCCATGCGCTCTCCTTTTCGGCGGGCGGCCCTTCTCGAGGCCGTGGGGGCTGGCCTACAGACCCTGGCTGGCTGAAAGCAGGGGTCCCGCGGGCGGAACTCAAAGCAGCTGACCTTCGGAGCAGTGTGTGTGTGTGTGAAGCCACAGGAGGCCAACGGGCGCTAGAGGAGCATCTATGGGGGAGCAGCCACGGAAGGACCACAAGGGACGGGGAACCACTTCGGGACCCGACCTGGTCCGCAATCCGGCGTCTTCACTGCGCGACTCCTCCCTCCCCTCGACCCTTACGCCTCAACACCTCCCTCCGCCTGCGCTTCCATCCTGCTCCCTGCTCCTCTCCCGCCCCGTCCTGCGCCTTCTCGACCCCCTCCTCCTGCCCCGTGCCTTCTGGGGCAGCAAAACGATGCCCATCCCGCTGCTCCCTGAACATCTCCCCGAGTGCGCTCTCATCAAAACTTCGAAGCGAATCCAGCGGTGGCGACGAGGACCTCCCAGGGGGCCCCCAAAGGGCGAAAACGGGGCAAGGGTGCCCGTATCGGTACGTATCTCTCCCTCGTCTGACTCACGTTCTCATCCTGCTCCTTCGCCATGTCACGCCTGCACCGCCGACGCAGTCAAACCGCAGGAACGGAGCCTCCTATGGGCCCATGGGCCCTGAAGCCCGCCCGGGTGCCCGAGGAGCGCTGGAGGAACCGCCAGGGAAGGACCTACCGAACAGCGAGCCCCGCCCAGACCCGACCTCGTGATTCCCTCGGCGACGTGGCCGTCGCTTCATGTCCATACCTTGGAGGCCTGGAAATGGGCAGCAACACCAACACAGAGGGTAGCCTCCACCAGGGGAAGAGGATCCTAAAGTCTGGCGCTGGTGGTCGTCTCTCGGCCACCTGGGAAGCCCGACTATTGCCACCATCACCGAGATCGGGAGCATCTTCCCTCGGTGGAGGCACACCGCCGATACTGGTGTTGGTGTCAGCCTCTAGGCCTCCGTGCGTACCGCTCCCTCCTCCCTCGAAGAGAAAGACCGTACGACCACGAGCTGTCGGAGCTGGGCCCCCCTCTGGCGGTGCCTTCCGCGCCGTCCCGGGCGCGCTCCGCGCGCCAGGGACATGAGGAGGAGGAGGAGGAGGAGGAGGAGGAGGAGGAGGAGGAGGAGAGAAGGAGGGGGCGGGCTCCGCGCGCCAGGGAGGGGGTCCAGCGCCGACCCAAGAAACCTTCGCGGAGCTCCGAGAATTTCTGTGAAGGCAATGTGTTTCTGCTTTAGTCGCCGAGCGCGTTCCACTACTCGCGAAGTGCCTACTCGCAAACGTCCGAAAAATACATGTCTGCTTTGATGTAATGTATCGTAATCCCCCGCGGGGGATCCAGGCCATTTGCGAGTAGTTACTTTGCGAATAGTGGAACGCGTTCGTCGATTTAGGGGGACGAACAATGATATAAACATAAAAACTCGGAGGTCCGCGCGGATTCCTCGGACCGGCGCTGCGGGCCCCCCCTGGCGGCGCCTCCGGCGCCGCCCCTGGCGCGCCAGGGAGGGGGGTCCAGCGCCGACCTGAGAAATCCGCACGGACCTCAGAGTTTTTCTGTTTATGTCATCCTTCGCTCTCCTAGAAATGCAATTTGCTTCTTCTTCGAATGTGTGTTTTACATGTTTGCTGTTTCACCTTATTCTTCGTCGTTATGTTTCTTTCGAATGTTTTTGCCTATTCTTCTTCGTTTTTGTTTTTTGCTTTGTGAATCTTCTTCGGCTCCCGCGTCCGACCCCCGGCACGGCGCTGAGCGCTGCGACCCCGAACTGCCAGCCGGGCCTGTCGTTGCACTGCCTCCAGCCGTACCCCCTCGTCCTCCAAATGCCGCTCTTGTCGGCCTGTCAGGCTGCGGCGCAGGGAGAGCGGGGCACGTCGCATCTATTGGAGAGAGACGCGGCGGGGCGAAATCTCGAGGTCACATTTGCGAGGAACAGGAGGAAGCGAACATAGGAGACGAGCAACCGGCATGAACATCACACCGCCGAAGAACAGATCAGATCCAATCCACGGAGTACTTCCTGGCATTCCCACGCCTGCCCACCGAAGACACGCGCGACCTATCTCGGCGTAAGAAAAAACTTCCGGGGGTCCGCGAGGGTTTCTTCTTCTTGGATCGGAGCCGAACGCCCCCTCCCTGGCGCGCGGAGCGCGCGAGGGGCGGCGACTGAGGCGCCGCTGGGGGGACCAGCGCCGATCCCAGAGATCCGAGCAGACCTCCGAACGCATGCTTCGGAGGCCGCGGAAGTCCGACGACATGAAATGAAACAGAGGTAGCTCTTGCGAAACGACGCCAGCCAACGCCAGTCGACGCCAATCGACGCTACGTCGGCGCTAGTCGGCGCTAAGCCTGCGCTCTCTCATCGACGATCACATGCTAGTGAAAACTAATGCACTCTAAAGACGGACTTGCGAGGAGGTACAAGGCTCCCATGCTTTGCTACCGAGATCCCTACCCCCGCTGACGTGGCCTTGGGCCCCGCTGGCCGATTGGCCCCCCCCCAGAAAGAGATGTAGGTTGTTCCTTTCGGGTTTCGATGGGCCCATCCCCAACTGGGGTGGTGGGATGGTGGGGCTGAGACACCATGGCCCGGTGGGGACCTGAGGATGGGGATAGGTTAATCGATCCTGAGCCAAGGTGGCCTCTCTGCGCGCGACCTGCCGGACCGCTGCGCGCGGTGCGACCCGCTACCGAAAAAAATCGATGTCGGTGCCCATCCCTGTCGCGCGAGCCAGCGAGGCGAAGCAGCGCGAACTTGGGGAAACCACAAAATACGTACCGATCCCGCCACTCCCCAGACCTCCCGGTGCCAGTGGGCGTTCTGACCAGCATTCCGAGGCGAATCCAGCGGTGGCGACGGAGGCCTCCCAGGAGGCCTAAAACAGGAGACAACCAGGGAAGGGTGGCGGCATCCGACCCCCTCGTGAGACTTTTTTCTGGCGCGCGTGCGGGCGAAACGGCGCCCAAGATGAGGGGCGACGATAGGGGGGGGGACGGGAATAGGGGGGGCCCCAGCCATGGGCTCCCCTCCCCAGAGCACGGTCCTCGTCGACGCCCCTCGATCCACTGCTCCGCCAGACTCGACGACGGCGCGCGCCCGCGCCCCCACGGCGGCGCTGCCCAGTCGAGGATCATGCGCTCGCTGAGCTCCGTGTACTCGGGGTGCTTTTCCAGGAAGAGGTCTAGCCACTCGAACGTGCCTTCGCTCCAGCGGCCCCGCACGGGGCAGGCCACTTCGCCAAGCTCACCCGTCCCCCCCCCCTGCCTTGGTGGGAGCAACGAACGAGGAGGGGGGGGGGGCAGCGAAGGGCCGTCGGGACCGACCGCAGATGACAGGCGAGAGGACGCACGTCTCCTCCGAGAGCAGCGCATGCAGGACAGCAAGGAGGGCGGCTGACAGGGCACAGACGGCAGGCCCACGGCGGGCTCGTTTTGACAGGGTGCGTTTCCGGCAGTGGG